TATGGGTGTCCGAATTAACGACTTTTGACTGTATTAAACATTCAAAATTTCTTTACCCGCAAACACAAGGAATTCCAATAGGAAGCTCAAATTCAACTCATCTTTGTAATTTATTTCTATTTTCTAAAGAATTGAAATTACTAAAAGCCTTTCTGATAATGATTTCAGTAATTTTGAACACACTCATAGATAGATATATTGATGACATTATTACTTACAACAATTATAATCTCATAGAAAATAGCAACATCTAATCAAGCTGTCTAAAACTTAAGACCAATACAAAACAAAACAGAAATAGTTTATCTTGATTTAAGTATTCATAATCTTAAAGAAATTAAACTTATAAATTGGAACTCCAACATATCTAAAAACGTTATTATATACTATTATAACCAAATTAGCAGATTCAAAAAAAGTTCGCACCGACATAGAAACACAAAAAAGAAGAAATTCTAATTCTCACCAAAATTTTAAAAAAGAAAATGAAATTCCAACAAAATTCATTAATGTCTTTTAAAAAAATTTTGAAGTATTATACACCCTATAGTACTTTTTAAAAGTATGAATTTTTTATATCTGAAAGTTCCAAAAGAGAAGGAAAAAGATGGATGCTTTAAAAGGTTTTTATAGGTTTTAATTTTTTTAAATGTTATTTTTTTCCTTTATTACTATTCTTTTAATAAAACAAGACTCTCCTATATTCAGAGTTGTCATGATAAATCCATGACGTAGACCCTCCTATATTCAGAGTTGTCATGATAAACCCATGACGTGAAGACTTTACTTTTCTAACAGTTTCTTTACTTCTTTTTCAAGCTTTCTTCTGCATTTTTCTGTAAATTTAAATCTAAAATTCAACTAAAAGGATTTTTCTACTGATTTCTACAAAGCAAATTATAAAAACTTTTTGACCACTTTTCAAGCACCCTTATCGAGTTTACTAATTTTAAAGTATAATTAATTCTAAAATTTAATTAAAGTTTTACCCTAAATCACATTCTTTACTCCCTATTTGTTTTAAAAAAGGTCCAAACTTACTCAAATTTCATTTCTCATCATAAAATAATATTTTTCTTTTTCTAAATATCTATTTAAAAAAATCCGATGTGTACACCACAACTTCTTTGTACGGAATATTAAATTATACGTATTTTTTCTTGCATTTCATTTAAACTTATTGGATTGAATAAGCGCATAAACCACAATATAATAAATGCACTCTTTAAAAAAATTCACAATATTTGTTTATCATTGAGACACTCTGGCCCTATGTTCACTTAACGGCAATACATTTCATTCATTTTTTAACTCAGAATGCACAAAATGTATACCACCTTAAGAATTATCTAAGCGTTGCTGCCACATATTCTATTCACATACTGTAATAAATCTAAAACAATCTATAAAAGAAATTAAGAAAACAACCAAAAAAAAAAAGAAAGAAAGAAAGAAAGAAACAGTTTTTTTTATAGACGATTCAGTATTTCTCATTCAATTAATTCAGTTTTCACTTTGTGACAAGGCAAAAATACATAAAAATTCAAAATATCTGTATTGAAAATTTGAATAAAATTTCCTCGAATAAATTCCAGAATGGATTAAGCATGATTTAATTCACAATAATTAAAGAAGGCGTTATCTTTGTTTTTGGGAAGCTTACTTTTCTAGATTGGCACAATCTACTATTCTGCTGTTTCAATTAACAACTAAACCATCTTAAAAATAATTAGGCTTAGCAGCGCTTAACACCTTTTAAATTGTTATTATAAACTATCGCATGCAGATTACTAAACATAAAACCTTACCATAAATAAGGGCAAACATACTTCAATCATTTTTAAGTCAAGTGCACAATTTACAACATATAAGAATAAAGAAACTGAGATTACCGACCGAGTAACAGAGTTGCATAAAGGGTTTAGCTTGTTTGAAAGTTTCGGTTTTAATATTTTTATATTAATTGTTGCATTTATATGTTTATTTGAAATTTATTAATTATGAATTTCAATTTCTGGTCTTTGTGAAATTTTAGTTCTTAATTTCTTATTTTATATATATATACATATATACTTTTGGTGCCGCCGATTGCAAGAAAAATACGAGGTACATGTCTACATGCCATAGCAATCCTATATACAAAATTTAAACGTTCTAAAGCTACTCATTTTTGAGATATGTACATAAGTACGTACATGCACAGTATGTATGCACAGACATTGACAACACAGTATGTATGCACAGACAACACAAAAATTTCTCTTCAGAATTCATTTTAAATCAGATTTATAATTTTTTGGGGGGAAAAGAGTCATTTATTCTGCCCTTACGTATGAATGTCGCGCAAAAATATTGTTAAATTGCATTCGATAGTGGTCAAAATGGATATTTTCGTTGAAATATGATGCCTTTTTTGCGATTGCAATACAGTACAGAGTCTCTAATCCGGACGTCCATAATCTGGAATGATCTATCCTCGGCCTCCCAGCTCACCCATAGCGGCTGTGTAAACACAATTATGTTTCACATGCGCTACGATGTAGCATGAAGTCCGTTTAGCATGGGCGTATGTTGCAGATTGCGGTTCCTTAATCATTTATTGGCTCGCTTATTTTTTGCGACTGTTGAGCAATCCTATAAACCGAGCTTGAACTTCGATATGTCAAAAAGAGTTTCAAATCTGGAGCTGCCAAAGGATCTACAAAGCGAAAGCATGTGTCGATGTCCATCAAAACAAAAAGTTGAATTGCTGCAAAAAATAGATAAAGGCATATCTGTCTCAAAATTATGCGAGGAGTGTGGCATTGGAAAGTCAACAAGCAAAAAGAAAAAGGAACTTTTTGAATTTTTTGTGAATTCCCATACCCACTTACAATGAATAACAAAAAAAGGGTTCGTTATACTAAAAGTGACGATCGTGACAAAGTGATGATTTTAATAAAGTACAAATAAATATAGCTTCTCTATCTCTTACTTTTGGTTTTTTTTTTTTTTTGTTAAATTTTGATACCGTTTCGTCAAATTGCTCTGTATTTATAAATTACAGTTTCATATTTTTAAGTGTATATTTTTTGCATGCTATCTTACCAGATTTAAATTGATGATCTATAATCCGGAAAACACCTAATCCGGAATCACCGAAGTCCCGACGAGTCCAAATTACGGACTTTGTACTGTACTTCCTTTTTACTTCGTACAAGGAAGTAAAAAATTAATAGAAGTTTTAAAAAGTTTTTTCTTTTGGTTTCAAAATTCTATCTTTTGTTCCAATTTTTAGCCTTTTGAGAGATTACTTTCTTGTCAACATATTTTAGTTTCGCTAATGAAGCCAAACTCGCAAACCTAAATGTCACTGCTGTAACAATATTTTTCATAGTTTCGGTCGTGTTCTAATTTGGGTGAACTATTATAATTAAAATAAACTGAAATGGTTCATCATCTAATTCTGGATAGAAAGGCAAGATTTTTGCGGAAGAGAGATTTCAATTGATTTCAATGTTCCCCTTCCTGGCAAAGTGGCACTGAAGTTTATTGAATTCTTCTTCTATTATGTTCTACTTTCTTTAAATTTCATTAATTTTTTTTAATTGGGGTATTTCTTGTTTGAAGTGTTTTGTTAAATTCCCACCCCTTTTTTCATTTATAGGATTATGCAAAATTTATTACATATGAATTTCAATTTTTAGTCTTTGTGAAAAACTGGTTCTAAAATTCCTTACTTTATTTACTTACTGATAATTTTTCAGCGGCTTAACATGCGAAAATACTAGGCATGATTATATAGTATAAATCCGAGATCCTGATTTGTCAAGAGTTCGGCTATCCCGGATTTTGTATTTTTCTGGCTATTAGATGAAGTTTAAATCTAGTAAGATAGCATGTAAAAATTTTTGGTCTTTTTGAAAAATTGGTTCTAAAATTTCTTTTACTGATAATTTTTCAGCGGCTTAATAAGCGAAAATATTAGGCATGATTATATAGTATAAGTCCGAGATCCTGACTCGTCGAGACTTCGGCAATCCAGGATTTTGTATTTTTCCAGCTATTACATCATAAATTTAAATCTAGTAAGATGGCATGTAAAAATTATAAAATTAAAAATATGAAATAATGATTTATGATCTAAAGAGTATCAAAATTTACCAAAATAAAGCTTAATTTAGTTAACACCGAAACACTAACTACATTACAGAAAGGGTTACTAAAGTACTTAACTATCACAGAAAAGGCCACACTACAATACAAGCAATGCCTTCACTGATAGGCAACCTAACACGCTGCAGTTTTTTTGAAAACATGCTGTATGATTCAAATTGTTTGGTTAACTTCAAACTAGCTTCTTATATCTGCTGTTCATCTTTGCAAATCACATCATGGATGCTGACTATAGTCGACATACATCTGAGGGTTACTTTGTAAACGCCAACTACACCCAGAGTTAAGAGTGAAAGGGTTAGAAACAAGTTCTGCCATTACCTCAGTAACTTTACCAGTGCTGGTATCCCACTTGATTTGAAAATGGCCAGAAGACCTTGTCTGTGATGAGATAAATTGTGAAGTACACCAGCGGCACATTTGGTTGTTTCGAGATCATTAGAAGAAGTCATGGCACGCACCAATGCTGCCACCATCTGTGGCGAGTTCATGATTGCATGTCGTGACGCCTCCTTTTTAGACAGCTGGTGAACCATCATTGCTGCTTGGCTTACGACAACCTGATCTTCATCATTCAGTAATTTGACTAATTCAGGAATAGCTCTGGTTGCCAGATCAGCATCATCCTAAAATATAATAATGTGATGAGAAAAGTTTTTAAGATAACGTTTAAAAGATTAATAAAATCGCTCAATTGATTAGGGAAGCAAGAAATATCATTAGGAAAATTATTGTGAGATTGTTAATTGTAAAATATTTATATGGAAGATGCAATTAAAAAGTCAGTAATAAGCCTACCAAGCAATTTTTATGCAATATCACTTCATATATATAAAACAAAAAAATAAAATAGAGTGCATATAAGCATAACAAGAAAAGATATCCTTTTATGGGTGGTAACCGATTCTAATAAGATGTTCTGCCTAATATTGTTAATCTTGAATAAATATTAACTCTGCAGATCTTTTAACATGGAATCAGTTTAGGATATCAAACAACATCTGAGTACATCTTCGACATTCTTCTCAATGAAAACAATTTCCGTTTGCAAATATTCAATTTGCCAAAGCAAAAATACTGCTTTTCCTGATAATGTATCTGGCAAAAACACCCAGATATATTCAAATGGATTTAAGTCAAGCAAGCATAACAGTTAATTATATCCTTGATTTCCTCTTCTTAAAGAATGTTATCTATGAAAAGGAAGAAATTGTAGATCACAGCAGCATATGAATTGACAAAAGATTTTAGAACTTCAGTTCTATGAGCATTCAATCTAATTTTTATAGATAATTTAAAGTTTTTTAATGTTAACCCCACTGTGCACTATTAAACATAAGCTTTACATTTTACAGGCACTATCTTGTTTTCAATTGGAAACATAAAGCATCTAGGGAAAGCTTGTATGCAGTTCTTCGTAAAATTCATAAATATCACAAGTTAGTTACTCTTAGTTACATTCATTGATGCTTTAGTTTCAATTTAGTTGATGGCATGGTGGCTTATATCCCCAAATTTTGTACATTATATCTATAACATTTAAAACTGACATTATTTTTGCTGAATTACATATGTCTAATTTGGGTAGATTTTGTGTTGCTCTTAAGCAATGTAAAGCATTCAGTCAGAACCTGGTAATTTACCTTTATAAATTAGCTGACTGCTCATTGCATTGTATGTTGTTTCTGAGATTTTATGCATTGTTTGCGAGTTTCACATGATAAAATATAGTCACATGAACAGTGAAAAACTATACTGCGGAAGATGGTCAGTTAGTGTAACAATGAAAATGAAGACTGGGATGATGAGACAATACATGACAGTGGCAACAAATACACAAAAACAAGTAGTGATGCAGTAAATCTTATTGCACCTGAAGTGAAGGCTTTTGTCCAAAAAAGGTATTCATGTCAAACTGACACTTGGATCACAAAAAATGCAGGCAGATATCAAGCCATGAATCTCAAATAAAATTACTGTTGCAGGTAGGTGTTCCAGGACTGTCTGTACAAAACATGACACCAAAAAAGCACAAGATATATTATGGAAAAAGAAGGTCTACTCGATACTAATCAAGAAAACTAAGCGCACAAAATGTATTTATAGATACATTTTCTTCTTCGTAGTTCCTAATATACAAGTGGAATAGTGAGAGATGAGTTATCACAGAATACATGTCATTGTCAAATAAGAATTACAAATAACTTATTAAACGCAGTAAAATAAGAAATATAATATTTAAAATATTTTTTGGCTCTGACAAGTCTTTTTAATAGCATATGTTTTTTATGTTAAAATACAAATTAACGAAAAATAGAATTAATTTATACATATTCCTTCCCATACCATCAAACAGATTCTACTTGCAATATAGAATTTGCCAAACCTGGATTACTCTGCTTTTCCCCTCCCCAGATAAGAACTCATAAATTCACAATGATACAAAAAATTTCAACTTAACAAAAACAGACTATGATTCCACTTGGCACCTCGCTCACCATGATGTTCAAAAGCCAAGGTTTCATAATAAAATCCTCCATTATATTATTACTTTAATTTAGGACACTGCAAATACTGAATCTGCAACACACATCCTGTTTTTAAAAGAAACACCCACTACAGATAAAAAAGCATTTTGCATATATTCTCACTGGGTATTTATTATACTTATTCTTAAATAGCTTTGACCTCATCTTTGCCTCTTCTTTTATCCTGGAATTGGATGATTTAACAGTTAGAAAATAACAGTTTGTAATATTCCAATCACTTTGTTTATCACCTGCTGTTCTAACCTGCTTCCAGCCAGCTAACTTAATAAACTAACATGTTCACTGAGAAATGAAATAAATTACTTGAGTTTAGCAGACATATTCACTAGGTAAGATCTTTAAGACATGAAATTCGAATCACAGGTATACGTAGAAGTAGAAGAGGCCATAGCCACCAGGTTATGCCTCTAATCTGCTACCCATCTCGAACACACCAATTCGATGGCTGCTGTGAGTATCCACACTGAATGCTCAGCAATGCACAAGTCCATAATATAGGGTGGGGCAAATAAAAGTGGCCTGGAAGACAGAGTAAGTCTATTCTCCAGGCCACTTTTATTTCCCCCAACCTGTAGCTACCAATAGCAGGGCCACTAAAGTTTACAATAATTAAAAAAGAGGGCAAATGAAGAAAATGACGAAAAGAAAGCATAGCAACTCCTAATGATATTGGAACAAAAGACCAACTATGTCCTGGCTCAATTACCACCTAAGATCGCCACTGTTGTTCATGACGTAATCATTCAACCTGATCAAGCCAACTCATATGAGGATCTGAAATCAAAAATTATCGAAAGATGTTTCGATTGGAAGGCTCAAGAACTTTGCTGGCTGATAGTAGGTAAAAGCCTCGGTGATCGGAAGGCCAGTGAACTCCTCTAAAACATTATGAAGCATCGAGCAGAGAATCACAATATCGAAGACTCACTCTTATTTAAACTCTTTAATCAAGCGATGCCTATTCCTATCCAAACTATATTAGCATCCACCTCTCCTATTACTTTGGATAAAGCAGCTGATCGAATTTAGGCTATAAAAAAGCAACACGCACATTTCCACCATTGTCCCTAACAATAACCCTTCTCTGGAAAATGCCAGCTACACAGTGCTCCCAGTATGAATTTTATTGCTGTGTGTGGAAAAAATTACATTTTCATACTTAATGCTGTTCCATGCTGCTCATTCAAATACAGGAGGCAGATCAACAACTCATCACCTTTACTTACATAAGCAATCTGTGTCCTGAAACTGTTTCATCTACGGTTCGATGTCATGACGATGTGGTACTTCTTTACCCAATTTTTCATATGAAAATGTCTTTGAATGATGATAAATGTTGATGCTTTGGAGTATTCCAAAGCACAGTATTCATTCTCCTGCATGGAGTGTGCCCTTTTGATAAACAATGCCTCTAGTATTGAATTCACAACTGGAAGAATTTTCGCTGCTACCAGATAAATCCTGTATAATTGTAGTTTCAGAATTAATTTGTTTTGGCTTAAATCAATTACAGAATTTCTACTGTGCTATTTGTTTTTTCCTTCAATATGAAACACCCTGTATTTAAGTCATCTAACTAGTTACAACAACAGAAAACTAGTGAAATATTACAAAAACCAGAACAAATTTTTTATATTAATATCACTATTTCTAAATTCACACAGTTTACACAGCTTGATGATTCTGACTTATCTATGCATTCAATTCTGCAATTTTAAATTATTTCAAAATCTGTTTAATCAGTTAATACATAATTAATTTTAAACCTCTTCAGTGACACCAAATTATTTCTGCAGAAAATAATTTCAATTTTACGCACACATCATTAAATATTTAAAGGGAATACCGATAAAGTAGAAAGATCTGCATTACTTTATATTTTAGATGTCCTTCATCTAGCTGGTTAGAGGTATCCGATCTGACTTATCTGCTTCAATCTGCAATTTAATTATTTCAACTTTTTAATATTCCCATCAAGCTTATCATTCTCTTTTCAACTTCTATCAATAACTACACAAATTAAATTTCTTGCAGCAGAAAAATAATTTCAATTTTTAATGAAACAAATCATTAACATATTTAAACGGGGGGGAATACAAGAATAATAGGTTAGAAAAGATCAGTCATTTAAATTTAATATTTTTAAGATGTCCTTTCATACTTAGCTGGGTGAGAAGTTAAAAACATTACATAAATATTACCTGATAATTAATCAAATTGACAACAGCATGCTTCAGCATCTGTGACGGCTCAGCAAGACGCTGGACTGCTGTTGGTTGTGTAGGATCAAACTGTGTGCTAGGAATTTCAATGCCCTCCTCCAAAGTTTCAGGAAACATAGCTGCACGAACTCTTTGAGATCGTGTCTGATTTAACTGCTGATTCATTTCTATATTTTAAAGTAATAAAAAAAACATAATCATAATAGTAACAAAAATTTGGAGGCTAAAATTATGTATCAATTACTATGAAACTAGTTTGAGAAAAATATTAGTAACATAAAAAGGAAAAAATTCCATCATTACCATCAACTTGTTCTTGAGTGAAACCTTGGCCAAACCCAGGTTGATCCCAATCGAACACAATCTGATCACTTTCCAAGTCATCCTCTTTGCCGCAGAGGGTAGGTGGAGCCTGAAATGATTTTTTTAAAAAATAATAAAAGGATATTTCACTTACTTCAGTTAAGCATTTTAGAATTAAAATCAGTCTAATATTAAGATTTCCTTTAAAAAGAAAATATAGAATGAACAAAACTTACATGAGTTGAAGCTCCAGAATGTATACCAGAATCTCCCATATATGAATTCTGTTGCCATAATAGGGTCTGTTCTTTAGGATTTGTTAAAGGCATATCAGGAGGACTGCTGTAGTTGCCATGAGACACTGAAAAAATATCGAAAAAGTATAAAATTTTGTTTAATTTTAAATTTTTTTATACAAACAAACATACAAAACAAGTTAAGACACAATAACATGCTGAATAAATACTAATTCAGAAGTCAAACAACAAAAATCAGCGTTAATTTACAAAATTTTCACAGGACTAGTTTCGATGGTTTTACCGAACCACCATCCTCAGCTGCAAAACCGCAAATGAACAAGATAGGAAATAATGATTAGATATGATAAGAAAGCCTGGACAAGAATAAGCAAGTGGCGCCATCTGTTGATGAAACCAGAACTAAAACATAATTTCTTTAAAGGCCAAAGGCAAAGATGGATTGGAATTAGGATCATTAACTAGAACAGAAAGGTTTTTTTTTAATGTGAAATGCTTCTAGAAAATCCAGTTTCTCGAATGGAAGATGTTTTTTGAATAATTTTGGCAGCAGAAAATTGAAAGTGTGATTTTCGGACCAACAATGTTGAGCAACAGAAGACTTCTGTGTTTCCTTTTTTCTAACATATGACTCATGTTCCTTGACGCGAAATTTTTAAGGCTCTCTTAGTTTGGCCAATGTAAATAAACCACACTGGCAAGGAATCCTATAAATACCCCAGGAATTCATATACAGAATGGGGTCTTGGAGTATGGAACTCGGAATTTTATTGATGGGAGAATAAACAACCCAAAAGTTAAATTTCTGCAAAATATGTGCAACTTTATAGCTAATTGATGGAAAGAAGCGAATGACAACAGAATTTTTATAATCTCCTAAAACAGAGTGTGCCTTTTAGTGTGTTGAGATGAAAATTTTTTAACTGCTTGATTAATAATGTTGGGTGAAAAAGCCCCTGTCAATAGCTATTGCTTTTAAATAATTTAGTTCTTTATCAAGGGATAGTTTGGGAGGAGCAAGCTTGAAGAGCACGGAAAACATAGGAATAAAATGAAGCTAACTTTTGTTTAGTCGGATGACATGATTTAAAGTGTGGTAGAAGGGAAACCGATGAAGGTTTACGGTAAACCGTAGTACTGAAATTGGATGTGTTATGTGTGACCAGAATGTCGAGAAACAGAAGAGAATTGCAAGTCTCAAGTTCAAAAGTGAATTGAATAGCAAGATCAATAGAATTCATTGTTGAAAGAACTTTATTTAAATCATCTTTATTACCTTCAAACAGGGTAAAAGTATCGTCTACGTAATGGAACCATGCCGGGAAGTTTAAAGTTTAAACAATTTGTTTCATAATAATGCGGTTCCCCAACATATAATCAGAGTTCAAAAATTCTCATTCAACCCCTAAAAGCACACTTTTTTTAGGGATTATAAAAATTGTTGCATCCTCGCCATCAAATAGCTATAAAGTGCACAGATTTGCAGAATTTACTTTCGGGTTTGTTTTTACTCTCCCATCATAAAATTCCAAACTTCTATACTCAAGACCCCATTCCGGATATGATCCTGGGGTATTATAGGATTCCTTCGTGCGTTATTTACTTGGCCAAACTAAGAGCTTAAAATTGCGTCAAAGAAATGAGCCATGTTGAAAAAGGAAACACCGAAGTTTTCTTTGCTCACATTGTGGCCGAAATCACACTTTCAATTTTTCTGCTGCCAAAATATTCAAAAAATCTCCATTGGAGAATGGTTTTAGAGACTTTCACATTCATAAAAATCTTTCTGTTCTAGTAACGATCTAATCCAATCCATTTGCCTCGGCTTTAGAGAAATTGGTTTTGTCTGGTCGCCACAGATGGCGCACTGCTTATCTGTCAGGCTTCTTATCTATCTAATCATTATTTCCTATCTTGTTTTATTTGCGGTTTTGCAGCTGAAGATGATGGTTCGGTAAAACCATCGAAACTAGTCCTGTGAATTTTGTAAATTAACGCTGATTTTTGTTGTTTGACTTCTGAATTAATACAAAACAAGTATTATACAAGCTAGTTTTATTTGCATTACACAAAAAGTTTATTAGTCAATCATGTCAGATTACTATAAAGATTATCTACTTAATAGGACAGATGCCTTGAAAAAGGATTCTCCGAGGAAAATTGGTTCACATTCACAATAAATATACCTTGTTTAAAAGGACCCAAACAATGAGATTTCGTAGCACATTAAACCACCCAAACACTTTTTTTAATTGGGGGAAGGGCAGAACTTTTCAGAATCAAACCAAAATCAGCTCAAAGACATTCACTTAGCTACTAGCTGCTTTGTCCCCCCCCCAGAGAATATATGGCTCTAAAACATATTTAACTAAAAGTTAATTTTTAAAAGACACTGAGTTTAAATTTTAGCTAATTTTTCAAGCGAAAAAATTTTATGAACAAGAATATTATCGCATAAACACCAGAATTTTTTTCAGGTGTGACATTCAGAAAAACTGAATATTCTAAACTTGACTATTAAATGTCCAGCACAAAAATTAGTTATTATTTTTTATTTATTTATTTAAATAAGAGGAAAATATAAAGAAATATAAAAATCATTTTAAAAATAGAGAATAAAAATCTAAAATCAGAAGAAAATTGATTAATGTTAATTATATTTTCACTTCCTTGTGTGAAGGAAAGGAAGTCCTGCAATCGCGAAAAATTTTGGGTGTAATATTTCAACAAAAATATCAATTTCGAACGCTCTTGAAAGCATTTGAACAATATTTTTGCAGAACATAGGCATGTACAGAAAGAATAAAGATTAAAAATGAATTCAAAATGGATTCAGAAAAAATGAATTCAAAATGGAAGAGATCTTTTACTTAACATTTTTATGTACGTATGTATCTCCTATAACTCAAAAACGAGCAGCCATAGAAAACAAATTTTGTGCATGGGACTGCTATTACATGTAGTTGTGCACCTCCCTTTACCGATGCAATGGGACTGCTATTGCATGTAGTTCTGTATCTCTCCTTTTTCAATGCAATCAGCTGCAGAAATCATGCATAAACGTATATATTCCCACTCTGTAACCTTTGATGAGCTTTGAAGCTTTTTTTTATTCTTATATGTTGGTATATTGTGCATTTTTTGCTTTAAAAGTGATTGAATTATGTGGTTTTTTTTTTATGTTCTGATTAAGGTTTTTATGCCTTTAATTAATCTGCATTCAAAAATTGTACAATTATCAACTATTTAAAAGTGATGAGTTAAGCCTAATGAACCACCATTTGTTTAAGGTCTTTCAGGGGACCAAAAATAAACTTTGTTTTGTGCTCCGAAAAATCTGCCTTCTTGCCCGCTGGCTGAATTGCTTGTTTTTGCGCAAAAACTCTAATTTTAATTCTAAAAAAAATTTTTTTGGAACTGTCTTATTATGTGTATTTAGTGTTATGCTTTTCTATATTTTTAATGAAAATGTTCTAATTTTTTTTTTTTTTTTTTTTTTTTTTTTTTTTTAAATTGAGAACTAAATCAACTGAATGAGAAATACATCTTTAATTATATGCTTAACTGAAATGCAGCAAAAAATGTGTATAATGATGTCACAAAAGTGAATCTGATTGGTGGATTTCCAATGCTTGATTAAGTCTTTTTTGACACTGTTACTATTGCTATAGAATGCTTGGAGTTTAACTCTTTAATTAATTAAAATATGCCTAAATTAATTTAAAATGCAATTTATATACCAGACCAAATAATTAAAAGATGAGAAAAATCGCATATGTTGCTGAGTGGTTTTAATTAAAATGCTTTATGTATCAAAATTTCAAACTCTGCTTTTTGAAAAAATGAATAAAACAACAAATTAATATTATTAATATTAATTATAAATGTTTTAGGAAATATATTGTAATTAATTTATGTATTAAAATTGTTTTGAAGGTGTTTTACAAAGCTTTTAAATAAAAGCTTGTAATTTATATTAACCAATTAAATTGTACTAGGTTATATTTTATATATATTTTAGGTGCACAGTTAGATAGATACATCCAACAATCATATTTAAATATGATAATTTTTATTTACACTGGTTTTAAAAATAAGATGTAGGCATCTTAGACTGAGAAACAAAGCAGCACAAAGATGTTAGCACAGTAGAAGCTAGCGAAAGGAATGACGGAGTTGTTTTGCCAAGAATATTTATATTATGTATGATGCATAAGTACAGCTAATCTGTGACTGGTTAATTTTAAATTGTTATGTAACATGGAAAGATCTTGAATTTGGGAGAAAAAAAATGGATTCAAGGGAGAGACATAAAACCTAGACTAGTAAATTTTGAGTTTGCCAATCATTTCTTAGAGCAGCCATTGCATTTTTGTTATATATAAATGTTATGTAGAAAAATATAGAAGTTAAGAATACTTTTTACCTTTTACACTTAACTTTTTAACCGACTTCTTACTCGGAGCCGTGACAAAAAAAAAAAAAAAAAATAATAATAATAACTAATAATAATAAATAAAAATAAATAATAAAACTAAGTACTCTCACATAAAAAAAACCTTATTCTAACACTTTCAAACTTTGGTGAATACAATCCTTACTTTAATTTAAACTAAATTCTACTTTAAACAACAACTCAGAGAAAAATAACATTTATCATATCATCGCTCATCTCTTTAGATCCAAGAATGAAGAGAAAATATCCTCCATGAAGTTTTGGGTAGAATCTCCATGAAGTTTTGGGTAAAGATTATTTATCAAAACAAAATGCAGAAATGCACTTCTACAACAAAATCATCAATCGGCTATCTCTCGCTAAAATAAAGCTTATTCAGATTCCAACCTAAAAACACATAATTTTCAATACAAATCTAGAGATAGCCCTAAAACACTTTACATTTAAAATACAACACCGAACTCTTCAAAACACCATGGAAAGATAAATCTCACACTTAAGAAGTCTACTCATCAATTCATATAAATTAAGTAAGCTGATCGTATAGTCACAACATTTAAAACTGATTTTTCTACTACCGCAAATGATTACATACTCAGGTTCGAATTGAAAATAACCATATTTTTTGCAAGAATAATATGGGTGACC